TAATATAGATATGAATGCTTGTGTATAACTCATTCCAATTAATTAGTTTGTTGGTATTTTATTAAGCATTAGCCGAAAGTGATTTTTTTCCAAATCTATGATACTTCAGGCTTTCAGCTAATTAATTGGATGCCACCGTTGTTATTTACAAGGGGATTGTGATGATAAGTTATAGTTCATTTTGAGTCAGTGCTTCCTCGATGATTGATTAGCACCATTTGAAACAGGCTCAGAGAAGTTATATTAAATGCTCTGGGCCTGCACTGGGTTGTCCAGCTGCTAAATCAGCAGAGTAAGGAAACCACCATGCAAGCAGATTCACAAACGCTTTTCCTGCATGCTCTCAGTCGCACCACACACTGCTAACACTATTTGTAGTAAGGAGAAGGGGCTTATTTTAGAGGCACTGAGGCCAAGCTGCTTTACAAATATCAAAACGTGTGTTGGAGTGTGCAGCAAAGGTGCTTTTCTGCTCTCTGCTGTGTAGCCACAGGAATAAGATGAGGTTATTGGCTTTGCTTCCCACTCCTTACAATTTAAAGCCCTGCCAGGAACCTGAAAACTGCTTGATATCACTGATGATCTGTGTTATGATGATTTGTGACCTGTTTGTGATTTCTGTTGAGGTGAATTTAGTAAACATGAAGATCTTTCTTCATAGGAGCTTGTTTTCTGTAAGGCAAGATGGGAAGCTGCATAGGTGTGCTGTTTTCTACACAGAGCTGTTGAGGGACAGTTTAGATTAAAAGCAATAACAGTGGATGTGTTCGCACTAGGAGGGAACACAAAGATTTTAAATTCACTGCAACTAGAAACTGTTCAATGTGAGGAGCTGATAGAAAGCTTGACTCATGGGTCCTGTAAAATCTGGGATAGCCAACTGCTTGGGTTTTTATCTAAAAGGAACAAAGGAAACAGACCTGAAGTTTTCATCTGCTCCAGCAACCTCTGATGATCAGTTAAGTGACATGAGTTGTAGAGTAAGCTCAAGACCTACATTCCAAGTTAGTGATTATTTTTTATATTATTTTATATATATATATAAATAGCTACATATATTTATATATATACACAATATATTATCACATGCCCTTGTACAAAGGGTAGAGGAAGGCCAACGTGTAAGAGCAGATGGGTGAGAAGCATATGACACTCTTCACTGAGCAAGTTGAAGTTAACTATTTGACTCTGTCAGTGTCTCCTAGCATAGCTGTACATAGCTGGATCCTATATCTGAAATCACCATTTAAAGAACTCTTCAGTATGTCAATGCAGCAAAAGTCTTTGGGGATTGTTCTAAAAAGATCCTCAAGCTGGAGTGTCTGCAGCACTGGAGACACTTACTGAGACATCTTTGTGTGCAAACAGTTGTTACAAAAGAAACTTTCACAAGACATGATGTTTGATGACTGTAGCAGATACTTCAAATGCAGCATGTCTTGAATTAGAGTTCAGATGGGCAATCAAGTTATTGTGGCGTAAAACTTTTTCTCACTTCAGCTGAGCCATAACGACTGTTTGTGGGCATGTCTTTAGTCCACAGAAAATGACAATGCAGGGATGAACAACGTCCTGATCTAAATGGTGGATGAAGAAGGTGTACAGCTGTTGAATGTGATGTGTTTTTGTGTGTGCAGCCAGGCAGGCAAATGAAGAGGCTAAAGCCTCCTTAAATCCATGCCTGGCTTAACTCAGACTGCAGGCTAAAGTACTTCGCATTTCTTTACAGTTGGTTTAGGCTGAAAGCAGGCATGAGGACAGCTGCCATCACCCAGTTAATGTGTAGTAACCTGTTCCTCCAAATAGACGGTGTGTGAATTTAGAGAACTGATCCTACCACCTAAACCCGCAGCATGCATCCTGCATAGTCACTTCCTCTGCAAGTTAGAAACAGAAATAGAGAAAGAAATATATTTTTGAGTCCTCTAGTCCAAAGATGCAGACCCACATACACAGATTCAGAGGCTCCATTCTGGCAGCATCTGGACTTGGCAGCAGGTCTGTCCTTGTTGAACACTTCCCTTTACTGACAGCCTTAGGGCTGGTCACAGGGAAAAAAAAAAAAAGAGACAACAGAGTATTGTGTTCAGCAAAAAGAATCCTGCAGCATATTATTGGCAAATGGCTTGGCAGGAGATTTACAGCTAAATATGAAGCACTGCAAAAAACGTTAAGATCTAAATTTAAGGCATGTTGCTCTCTCCCTCTAATAATATTTTTCAGACTAGTGGACTCACGACCAATTTTTGGTGCTGAGCTGACTTCAGAACATTAGCTATGCCCATTTCAAATGTTTTTCTGTTTGCTCTGCTGCTCTTAGTGATGAAAGAAAAGATTTTTTTTCATCAGCATCCTAAATCCCTTTAGCTTTATATTTGGAAACGATTATAGATTTCATTAAAAAATGCCCTTTGGAGGGATATTTCTTATTCTGAGTCCAAGGTTATGTTTTTACACATGGAAAGTTTGTCCTAATTGTTCACATTTAACACTTTTTATGCTAACCCCCCCTTTTTTCCTCAAATGACTTGTAACTGGCTCCATTCCAAAATGACACATTTGCTATTAGCCAGCTCTTTTTCCTAAATAACTTAGTTTTCATAAAACAGGAGAACAACATCTGTTAGGACTTCTTGTTTTATAACAAGCTTATCTATCTATTTTAATTTTCACAAAACAGAGGGTAATGCCAGATAGGAGGGCACAGAACAGGTAGAATCACACTGAAATCCCAAGTATTCCTATTGGGGTATTCACGATATATTTGATGATAGTACTCTTATTGACTTTCCAGTTATACAGCTATCAGTGATTGGACTGGAAAGTAAAACTTATAGGAACTGGCCATTATATCTACATAAATATATGTAAGCATAAGTGAAAACCAGACTAAATTACAATATGCATCATAAAATACCAGCTTCATATTATAACAGTACTGGCCAATACTGCCAAGTATTTGGGTAAAAACTGTAGAGGAAAGATGCACAGTTCAATTTATAATTGCCTCTCTGTGGGAAACACCCATTGCCTGAGATTTCTTTGAAGTAATCCTTTGCAGAGCAATCCTTTATCCAATCCATAACAGTTTTTCATTCACTGACCTCCCTAGGCTTTGTAAAAGAAAGAAAAAGTGTTATTATCCCATTGTAGCAGGGAGGAAAACTAAGGTGAAGCAGCCTCTTCCAAAGCTTGAGGAAAATGGCAAGGGAGGATGAAAAGCACAAGGATGGGGGGATATTGTTCATGAGCACTAGGACGCAAAGCAGAGGACACCCCTCTCCATGTGCAAGGAGCCACCTCCTCCCGGCACACAAGGGGCTCAGTAATGGCATGCAGAGAAACTGGAACTCGTTCCTACCTGTGCCTTAGATGTGTGGCTCAGACCTCTGAGCTGTCTTTGGAGCCGCGTCTGCAACACACTGCATTTCAACTAATGCCACAACATAAATCTTGGAAAGGCTTTTTAGCTTGGAAGCAGTGGTGTGCAAATGTGGCTGTGCTGATTCCAGCCTTTCACTGCTAATGAAGTCTTCCTGTGCTGCTTGCTTTTTAGAAAAACTTTCCTGCTTAGGCCTTTTCTAGATGAAAAAAGTCTTCTACATCACGCTTAATTATATAGTGTAGATATATGCTAAATATGTCATACCCACAGGGTGACATGATGGCACTGAACAGTCAGAAGCTAATATACTGTACGTTAACTTCCCCACTTAGTTGTCTGCAGTAGGAAGTCTGACACCTAATTCATACAAAACCCACCCGTCTTGCTAAACTATGGTCACCCCTATTGCTAATATCACTTCAGCTGATCAGGTATTAGCCGTGGTGGGATATTATATTTACAACTAACTCTTTAGTCATTACATAATTTCAACTTCCTACAAATTCAGAGTGGCAACTGCTTACAGAGGTCCGTCATACCTATACAGGAGAACCTGTTTCTTTGAGAAAAAGTGATAATGTCATCTATTCTACATCACATGTTAAAAGATGAGGGGATTCAGGTTGTAGTGGTTTTTCCTGGGCATAATGCCATTCAGGATTTATAAATTCAAGAGGGCCTGGCTAAACAGAAACAGACCCTCATATGAGCTGTAGGTTTAAATTGCTTTTACAGTAAGCAATACAAAACACTAGTTTTTCGCATGTCCTGTTACTCCAGACTTGGTGTTGGTTCAGCTGTGCCCATTGCTGATTGAATTCTGTTAGCATCACTGAATGATTTTTACAGTGCAGACATGATTAAATGTGTGTTAAAAAGCAAGCAGGGACAGTGACACTGAGCAACAGAAGTGATTTCTGCTCAAAGCAAAAGAATATGAAAGCTGGGAAGTATTATAGAGTATTATAGAATCTAAAACAATGTGACTGATCCATTCTTATTAGGAATGAAGAAAAAGGTATAAATCTGACTTTCAAAATATTTTTTAATATTTTTCTAGTAGAATTTATAATTTTAACAACATGAAGGGCATTTCATGAAAGGTGCAGGCTCAGGCTGGAAACCCAAATATTTCTTAGCTGAATATTTCTAGGGAAAAATCCTTCCATCAAAAAAATCTGTAGCCACCAACACAGCCTGCAGAAGATACACATGGAAGACAGGGACTGGGGGAGCACATGTTTACTAATGAGAAAATTCTCCATTCTAGAATCTTATTTGATTTTTAAATGCTCCAGTTAGGAAAACATGGTTGCTTTTCTTTTTTTCCCCTCATCTACATGTCATTAAATGTAAAATAATAAATGTAAACCAATTTAAAGTACATTTCATTTCCTTTCTAAAATCACCAAGTGTAGTAAAATGTATTTTTCTTGTTTATCCTCAGAGGGGCCTATGCTTAATTGATACTACAGCATATGAAGGATGTAGGACTAGGCACTAGTTACAGAACGTCACAGTGCTGCTGTGAGCTTTTTTTGTTAACCCAAATTGTTGGTTCTCTGTGGTTACTTGTAGCAACTGCACAGACAGACATGGCATGGTTATTCCTTACCAGCTCATTGCTGCCATCCTCATCAAAATCCTCCTCTATTCCATCAGTCATTTCTTCTCCATCCCCGTCTGCATCTGGCCCTCCTTCAATTGGCTCTTCTGTAGAGTTATCTGCATTCTCTGATATGCACTCTTCTTGAATCAAATCAGCATTATCTTCCATTTGTTTCTTTTGAGCTTCTGTAAAGAAAACATACTCTATAGAGATTCAGTAGCCTTCCCTATTGGTGGCAAAGAAAAGTGCTCTGAGGAAGAAACCTGAGCTTCCCATCTCCGGATAAGCTAGCTTTGTAAAAATCAGTGTGTTAATATCTACCAGGCAAATATGATCAAAATCCTTGTTTTCAAAATTAACGCATAAATCAACCATAGTACCAACATGCTCATCTATCCCATGCAGTGGATGAAGGCTTGATTTACCAGCAGATCCAGCTTTTTGATTTTCTGGACTTTGCTTTGCCCTGGGAATCCAATTGGCATAGTCACCATATATTTATTTATCTGCAGCCAATGAGAAGTACATAAATCTCTGTGCTCTGAGAAGCAGAAGGCTGTTAATTGCCAATAAGTGAACAAGGATTTGCATAAATTTGCTGTGAGTATAGCGCAATGACCATACAGATAATCAACAAATCCTTCTAGACAACTGAACATATTTTTTAGGGAGCAAAGTAACAGTTTCTCCCCGTTGGTGTAATGTGCCGAGGCAACTGGAGAATGCTCCCCTTCAATTACCCAAATATAGGGCTTCCTATAATTTCTACAAAGTGGTGAAAAGAAAGACCATTTCCATGGAGGCCCAGAGGATCTGTTCTGGTTGGCTTAGCACAGATAGCTTCATTGTTGTGATTATGTATTGCAAGATTCCTGGATATGCTGAAGAATTTCAGCCAGCAGAAATCCAGAGGAGGATTGAGGGAGGAATGGCAGACTGGCCAGAAGAGAGGTTGGAAGAATCAGGGTCTTATTCCTATGCACATCAGGAGTTTAGATGAAAAGCTTTATGTACTCAAAGTGAATACGGACCAGAGAATTGGTTGC